CTATAGGTCTCATAGGAACCCCCGGCTTGTGGACTTTTGGCAAACCATAGAAGAGCGGTGCCTGAGGGTCAGACGGATATAGCTGTAAGTACTCCTTCCTGGACAAGTGACCCTTCCTTTCTACAGATTTCAGGGCATCTCTTACTTTACGAGTATAAGAAGGCGTAGGATCCTTAGGTAACTGTTCATAGGTGTCCACATCTGACACCAGGTCATTGATCTTTGATCGATATTGATCCGTACTCATGACACACACTGATCTACCTTTATCGCTAGGCAAAATCATTATATCATCCCGGTCCCTGAGATCATTTAAAGCGCGCCTCTCGTCTGCCTACCCTATAGCGAAGCACCTATCCCGTATTCTAGCCCCACTAGTAGGGAAGACCGACTCCCACGTGAAAGATTCGAAGGAGTTTGTTCAATTTGCGCAGTCTCTAAACTTGGACGAAGATGAAAACATGGTGTCATTCGACGTCACTTCTCTTTTCACCTCGGTTCCAACTGAGGTAGCTTGTGATGTGGCCAAAAAAAGGCTACAGGCTGAGGAAGAGAAGGGCGACAGTGATGTTCTGGCAGGTACTGCCATGGATGTCGATGATATAGTCATGCTACTTCGTCTATGCCTGGATACGACGTACTTTCAGGTAAACGGCGCTTTTTACAAACAAAAAAGGGGCACAGCGATGGGTAGTCCGGTTAGTGTTGTAGTAGCCAATCTCTTTATGGAAGAGCTGGAACAGAGAGCTCTGGAGTCTTTTGCCCATCCAGTTAAGGTCTGGCGACGCTACGTGGATGACACTTTTGTAGTGATGAAAGGGGACTTGGTGGAGAGCCTTCACGAGCACCTAAACAGTCAGGCGGCAGGGGTGGCTTTCACGGTGGAGAGGGAGAAGGACGGCATTCTTCCATTTTTGGACGTAGAGGTGAGGAGGGGGGAGGACGGGACGGTGATGACAGGAGTATACAGGAAAACAACACACACAGATAGCTACCTAAATTTTAACTCACATCACAGTAAACAGCACAAGGAGTCGGTGATTCGGTCATTGGTACAGAGGGGCGAAACTTTCGTATCATGTCAGGAGAGTAGGGAGGCTGAGTCGGGTCACATAGATAAGGCACTTAAGGCTAACAACTATCCAAAACATTTCATTCAGGCCACTCGCAGGAAACTAGCCAGACCAAAGAGGACTGGGGTCAGAGAGGAGCAGACGGACAAGCCTTTAGTTGTTCTACCTTACGTGAAGGGGGTCACGGAGAGAGTTACACGCGCGGTCAAACCGTTTGCCCGGGTTGCTACCAGGCCAGAGAGGAATTTGAAAAGCTTTCTGGTGCACCCCAAGGACAAGAGGGACATGTGTCACAGGACGGGCGTGGTCTACCAATATGTGTGTGCGTGTGGAAAAATTTACATAGGAGAAACGTGTCGTAGTATTAAAGCGAGAGAAACAGAGCACAAGAGGGCGATACGCAACTTGGACGAGAATCATTCAGGACTAGCCAAACATGTTATAGAAACGGGCCACTGTGTCGCTTGGGGAGATGTGAAAGTCTTAGCTTACGAGTCTGACTGGAGGAAACGAAAAATCAAAGAGGGTATTTTTATCGACAAGGCGAGAGGAAATGTGCTGAATGTGAAACCTGGTGTCATGGTGGCAGATGTGTATCGTGTGCTCGGCTAGGCGACTAAATGATAGTTCAATGTTCGTGCGGTGTATTTTTGTTTATTGTGCTTACTCATGTACGCGAATTCGCCAACGAAGTGGAACGCTACGAATTACGAAACGAGCTTTTCTCGAATATCTGCGCCACTTTGAGTTTAAGTGGCGTTTTTTGAATTTTGAATTGTTTTGTATTTACGTGTTTATCTGTCTTTTTAAGAATTCTATCCAAGGCTGACGAAGGAAGCTGTAACGCTTCCGAAAGCTACCAATAAAAACTTAAAGCTGGTGTTTGAACAATATTTTGCCAAATGAATCCGTCCCAGCTCAACAACAACATATATAATCATATCAGGGGAAAATTGGACTAGCTTAGCGGCAACTGAATTCCAAAGTTCACTAAAATTGGTAACAAAGTACACCATTCGATGCGCACTGACGTCCTGAGTTCACTGGTGCTTTTATTTTTGCTCTATCTTTGCTAGGTAAAAAGTTATAAGCGAAAATTTTTTAACATGTTTAACCCGCGCCCTGCTGGGGGTCCTGGATTTCCACGCCCTGCTGGGGGGGGGGGGTGTTTGAACACCCCCCCCTTCTAACTCGGCTCCTGGGCCACGTAGCGATACGCGGAAGGCGGCGTTCGAAAGAGCGTCAAAAATAATGAGGAAATCACTTCGGTCAATTTTTTGGTCAGGTCAAAGGTCAGGTCACCAGAGGTCATTGAAGGCAAAATTTCGCCGATTTCCAGGTCGAAGGTCGACAATTTCCAAGAAGCCAACGCATAACTCGGGAACCAATAGAGCTACAGCGCCGCGGAAAAGCGCATTCGATAGCCCTATTAACGCCCTTTCTGAGTAATTCTCTCAGATTTGACCTAACGTCAACGGTTTTGCCTGCAGGGGGCAAAAACTGCAAAAATAGCCGATTTTTTCGGAAACAGTTTTTCTGCAATAACTTTTGATCCAAGCCTTGTACGAGCTTACTTGTACCGGCATCGTGTTCCTCTCGTCAAGACGCATCGAATGAACTATAACTTGACCTTGAAAGGTCAACTTGAAAATTTGACCTCAGGTCAAGGTCATGACCTGACCGGATAGGGTCATGTTGCATATCAGTCGATCCGTATCGTCGAGCTGAACACATCTAAGGCGTTTTCATCGCTCTAGCATGCCTCTATCAAAAGTTATTTGCGAAAAACTGTTAGATACCATTCGTGACCTAAGATGACCTCAGGGCATAAACAGGGGTCACGGATACCATTTTCATGTTCAGTGTGTCTAAACCACTTGTAATTCAGTGTTTGGGAGTGTTTATAATGTCTTTCGTCCAAAAGAGGCGCATTTCAATTTTCTCCCATTGACTTATAATGGGGAGGTCGCAAAATTGACCTGACCTTAGGTCATCGATGTCAAAATTCTGAGATATACATTTTGTACATGCTATTGCTCTTAGCAATCGCTGAAAGTTTCAAAGCGATCGGTCACTCGGTGTAGCTATGACAGACATTGAAACTTTTTATGAGGTGAGGTCACTTCAAGTGACCTGGTGACCTGACCTTGAATGACCTTGGTCTGAAATTTTCACAACATGTGTAGAATTGATGTATGATAAGGTGTACCAAAAACGGCGGCGCTCCGCGCCGCCGTTTTTGAGATATTCGCGAAAAACCACAAGGGGGGGGGTGTTCAAACACCCCCCCCCCCAGCAGGGCGCGGGTTAAGCAAAATTTTTGCATTCATACCCCCAAAACCCCCTAAATATTGACTTAGAGTCACCAAACTTTCCTAGGGGCGAGATCTCCCATGGACCCACCTACCCTGTAAATTTGTCGTTTCTAAGTGTCATAGGAGCCAATCGCGAGGGGGGTCGTACCAACCCTCCCCCCTCGCCGTCCGTGTTATGGAAAAGGCCCTCGCCTGGCGAGGGTTAATCCTACATGTATCAAATTACCAAGAAGCCATTGCAGTACTAATCAGTGGCGAATCCCAGGGGGGAGGTCACATGGGTCATGACTTTGGGCCTGGGGTCACCACATGCCTGCCAGGAGCACCACAGGCCTGACAGCCGACAGGGGCACCACAGGCCCGCCAGGGGTACCACAGGCCTAGCAGGGACACCACGGGCCTGTCAGTGGCACCACAGGCCTGTCAGGAGCACCATCGGCCTAGCAAAAGCACTACAGGTCTTCCAGGGGCACCACAGACCTGCCAGGGGCACCAGAGGCCTGCCAGGGGTACTATCGGCTTCGCAGGGGAACCACCAGCCTCGCAAGGGCACCATGGGCCTGTCAAGGGCACCACAAGCCTGTCGTTGGCACTTTAGGATTGTCAGGGGCACCACAAACCTGTTAAGGGCACCTGCGTTCTAACAGGGGCACCACAGGCTCGCCAGGGGCACCACAGACCTGCCAAGGCCCAGGGACACCACAGGCCTAGCAAGGACACCACAGGCCTGTCAGGGGCACCACGGGCCTGTTAGGACCCATGGCACCCAGGGCCCATGCCGTGGGCTTGTCAAGGGGCAGGGTAGGTAGGTACCACAATCTTTCCAGGGGCACCAGCGGCCTAGCAGAGGCACCAGTCATCACACGACTAACCAAAAATAAAGAAAATAGAAAACTGAAAATAGGGTACCACCAAAATTAAGTGGCCGAAATCCGTTGAGGTTTTCATTTTGGGTATAGGTAGGAGCACCACTTCGATTCATGACCCTTCCCTTGGAGTTTTCCCGAATCTGCTCCTGGTACTAATACATCAAATTTAAGGAGGGGCACCTTGCTATTGGTGCCCCCCTTGCAGAATTCAAGGGGGGGCACGGTGCCCCGGTGCCCCCCCCCCCCGTTCCGCCGCCTATGCCGTCGTGACAGCTTGTCATTTGCATGCCGGTAGTAATTAGCACGATCACTCTGTTTTCAGCCAGTCATGTTGTCGTATAGGTTAGCGTAATCGGAGCAGCACACAAGTCGTGATCATTGGCGAAAACAACCCTGTTCTAGGGCTGATTGATTCCGGAACATTTCGCAAAAGAATGCGCGTAATTATTTGTGAAATGCACCAAATGCAATCGTTATGATGCATTTATATCAGTCGTCGACAAAGTCACCTATGTTTGTCCTATTTTCTGCATTTTGCGGCGTTTGTTGTGTCCTGTTCCTCCACCAGTTGTGACCGCTCGTTCGCTCAAATTCTCCGCTAGTGTGACCCCTCCGCCCGTCTCCGCTAGTGTGACCCGTTCCTTCGTCCTTCTTCGTCAGTGTTCCCGGTCCGTGCGTCTCCGCTAGTGTTCCCCGTCCGCGTGTCTCCACCAATGTGACCGTCCGTTCTCTACGATCCGCAGAGCCGCGCGTGTCGATCGAGTCCGACTCGCAGGACCTGTTTGTGAACGCGGGCAGCACGGTGGAGGTGCGCTGTGTGATCGCGCTCACCGTCTCGCCGCCGGCGCACACGTTCTGGTACCAGGACGGCGGCCGGGTGGTGCCCGACGGCGCCCGGCTCCGCGTGCTCAGCCAGCGGTCCAACGACACCACGTCGGTGTCGACGCTGCACGTGGAGCGCGCCCGTCTCGGCGACTCGGGCAACTACACGTGCGCTCCGAGCAGCCTGCCGTCGGCCAGCGTCCGACTGCACGTGCTCAATGGTGAGCGGGGCAACGTGTTCTCCCGGCTGGGTACCGGGCATTGGAGGGTCAGCGGAGGGTTCCAGGGACGCCAGAGGGTAACAGGGGGTCTGGAGTCGGCGGGTCGTCGATACCAGGTGGCGGAATTATTGATTATGTCGTGGAGAGTGGGATACATGCGTTACAAACAACTATTTCTGTGAACCTTTTGTGAACTTCAATTTCGTTTGAAAAGCGGCGCCGGAAAGTGCACGGCGCCATGGTTTTATATTGGCTCAGATCCGGAGTGAAATGCCAGTCGTTTGTCACAACCTTTGACCGAACGCCTCGCAGATAAACGGCCAGATATCTCAGAGGCTATTTGACAGCGCTGTGACGCTGACCTATTGCACCAATATTTTGCACGACTTACTCACAGGCATGAACTGAAGGTCCGTCCTCCCTCCCTCCCACCCTCTCTCTCCCTCCCTCCCACCCTCTCTCTCCCTCTCTCCCACTCTCTCTCTCTCTCTCTCTCTCTCTCTCTCTCTCTCTCTCTCTCTCTCTCTCTCTCTCTCTCTCTCTCTCTCTCTCTCTCTCTCTCTCTCTCTCTCTCTCTCTCTCTCTCTCTCTCTCTCTCTCTCTCTCTCTCTCTCTCTCCCATTGTCATTAACGCACCATTACCCTGCAATGTTGTAAAGTGTGAGTTCTCACTAGGCACAGGCCGCCGTCTATAAGATTATCGCGTGCCAGTTTATCGCTGACTGGGACGGAACAGTTCATTTCGAGGCCTACAATCAAGCTCCATTTAGCGAAATTTGATCTCGCATATGTCGTCATGAGCTCATGGGACTAGCACATAAAACAGTTCGTAGAAGCATTTCGCTTCGGTGGCATGACAGATCGGTTATTTGAGCAGACAATATGGGCTGTCGAAGTCGCGAACTTCGCTCAGAACGATGGTTCAGATTGAACTGATGGGAAATGGCACACTTGGAAATTGATTTTTAACTTGAGCATGTACATGATAAAAAATAGTTGAATTTATATGACGCCAGCTTGGAAGTGTTTTATATGTCATCTTAGGCAAGATAATGCATGCTACTTGAAAGGAAACTATTCCTTCAATCAATTGTAAGTACGTACATACTAGATACATACTACGTACATACATACGTACATACTTGTACGTACGTACTGATGGATTCGTTTTTGCTTTGCAGGATTGTAAAAGACAACGTTCTTTTGTGTTGTACCTATATGTTTCGATTATTTTACGGATGGCCGTATGCCTGACGATTTACATGTTACTGTGGTGAGCTCAGCCTGACGTCCGACTTTGGTCCGTATGACTCAGATATAAACATAACTGGTCTATAGCGTCTGTTATATGCATGCGATTGCATGATGACATGGTTTTGCAGCATGATATGTCTGTCAACCAGCGTAAATGTCGCACGAGGCACAGCATAAGACTCATACCTAAGCACCGCAATCCAATTTTCTAATGCAGCCACACAACTACCCACACTGGTGAAGTAATTGCCAAGTCTTGGCCGTATGCAGCTGTTGTTTGCTGTTGACATATGCAACAACTACTGTAATGGATTCCGGGTACCTAATAATTTAATAGTCATGATCGGCTCGCTGGCACGCCGTCGGGCGCCTGATGAGAACATTGTGTGGTGCCTAAGTGGTGCTGTAACACGGGCGTCGAATACTGATGGCATGGTGTCGCATATCATCCGACCACGGCGGCTACCCCCTCCCCTCCTCACACAGGGGTCGTAGACCGTCACCCACTAGCCGTCGCCCGGGGGGGGGGGGGGCGATCGCCCACACAGTCCGGGGGGAGGTCGAAGGCTGAGGCCTCAGGGTCGGGTCATAGGCTCGAGGCAGGCACTCAGCGGCACTCAAACCCGCTATAACTTCATGCACTTACTGCTAATTAGCAAGAACTATGTGGTCAGTGTTTCCAAACACGTGTTTCCGTGCATGTGCATTCCTTTAAGTGCACGATAAAAGAAATAGTGCCTTGTCATAAATGTAGGCCGCAAAATGGCCTAGGTAAATGTCTGGCGATTTTTATTGTCAACAATGCGGTTCATAGCTAGTGTTTGCAGTAAAAGACAATGACAAATGACCTTTTGCTGACCGCCAGTTCTTATGCACGGTTATTGCCTTGTTGATCAATAATCCATAAGCTCTGACTCGTAAATGTCGGCTGAGTTAGCGTTCATCCTTGTTCATAAATCATAAATTCAAAATGTAACTTGTTTTTTGCATGATACATTGACATTTTGAGAAAAAAAAAAAAACATCAATGAAAGCTGCTGCTGTCATCACTATAGAATGAAAATGTTGTCGCACCTGTGTTTGCCAGAATTTAGCGTTCATCACTACTCGAGTAATGCCAACGCACACTCGCACTGAATGTACAGTAGGGTTGTTCAAAAAAACCGAATTTTGGAAAAGTATATGGGCTCATGGCTCATGTGGTGCGGTATTCTTTTCTGAGTCCAATGATACCCCTTTTTTCGAAAAGTATTACTGCTAGGCGCTGCTCAAACGGCTTAAAGAGGACCATGTTACGCCCGCCGACCGGCCGGTGTCAATAAGGGCGAGAATTCGACGCCGCACGGCGGCGGCAGCGCCTTATCGGCACCACGCGCCACGACATCTGCCGGGCGGCCGGCTGGGCGGTGGGAAGTTATAAGTGCGTGGTCTTATTGCACACGATCGGGGTGAACTATCCCATGTTTTCGGGGCGGAAATTTTCAGTGCAGCATCGGTGCGTCTGCCACGGTGGTCTTTGTCGATGGTATAGAAAATGACTCAAGCAGAGCTCAGAAAAGACTGAATGATTCCGGGTAGTTGCCTCGAAACAATCCGTTTTAAGAATACAGCTGCCTTCTTAACGTACTGTATCACTTGTTAATTCTTCAAAAAGCAAGCTCTGAGCAATAACAGACTTCTTTGCATTGCTGTTGACAATTTAAGTTGCTTTTGGACGGTGGCTCGCAGCCCCAATATGCTGCCGCGTAACTCTATTCCAACGACGAAACGGCAACGTAGCGAGAATCGAAAATTTAACGAAGTAGGTACAACAGGAGCTGGCAAGGCTCCTGCATTGGTCTATCCGTCATGAGTGACACACCGGGTTAATGTGTCACGTCAGGGCAGAGCTGTGTTCTATGCCGGGTCTGGATTCGGGTCTTGATCGGCATCGGTGGGCACGGCCGCCCCATGGCCAGACTGCCGGCGTCGCTTATGCTCGAAGGATTGGATAAACGGCGCTTGATTTATATGAGTAGGTACTCCGGCGAATGTCTCTACTCATGTCTCACTTCGTCACACTGTCAGGGTGGCCACCCTGTCATTCCCAGACATGTTATGTTTTCTTTCGACCCGCTAATCTAAGCTACACCTGGCGTCGATTCTGTTGCCCCAGCATCTGACATCAACGTATCTGAATAATGACATTGGTGACGCCTATGCTCGTCAAAGCCACCCCCAAACTTGGGCCGATGACTGTCGGGTCTCCTCCATATTCTGTCCTTGTGCATACTGCATTGCCAGCCCCTGCTGTACGTATATCGTGAATTTTCGATTCTCGCGAAGTTGCCGTTTCGCCGTTGGAATAAAGTTGCGCGGCAGCATATTGGGGGTGCGAGCCACCGTCAAAAACTAACGTAAATTGTCAACAGCAATGCAAAGAGGTGTGTTATTGCTCAGAGTTTGTTTTTTGAAGAATTAACAAGTGATACGGTACGTTAAGAAGGCAGCTGTATTCTTAAAACGGATTGTTTCAAGGCAACTACTCGGAATCATTCAGTCTTTTCTGAGCTCTGCTTGAGTTATTTTCTATACCATCGACACAGACCACCGTGGCAGACGCACCGATGCTGCACTGAAACTTTCCGCCCCGAAAACATGGGATAGCTCACCCCGATCGTGTGCAATAAGACCACGCACTTATAACTTCCCACCGCCCAGCCGGCCGCCCGGCAGATGTCGTGGCGCGCGGTGCCGATAAGGCGCTGCCGCCGGCGCGCGGCGTCGAGTTCTCGCCCTTATTGACACCGGCCGGTCGGCGGGCGTAGCATGGTCCTCTTTAAGCCGTTTGAGGAGCCCCTAACAGTTAATACTTTTCAGAAAAAAGGGCATCATTGGTCTCAGAAAAGAATACCGCACCACCTGAGCCATGAGCCCATATACTTTTCCAAAATTCGGTTTTTTTGAACAACCCTAATGTACAGGGATGTTCACGAAAAACTGACACATTTTAAAACGACTTTGTGAGCATGTGAGAGCTCACGGAGACTTGACTTGCATGCCATTCGAAAGCCTGTTGAAAAAAGTTTTGTATCTGCATAGCTCCTTTAGTTAGCATCACATGAGCTTCCAAATAAATAAGAAAGCGTTAAAATGGGGAAATTTGACTTGGCGACAAAACTTAACGGAAAAACAATGAAGCTCTCGCGGCTGCCATCTGCCACCACGACTGAACCAGTCTACGAATTCGTCTAAAATTTGACATATTAACCCGCGCCCGGCTGGGGGTCCTGGATTTCCACGCCCTGCTGGGGGGGGGGGGGTGTTTGAACACCCCCCTTGTAACTCGGCTCCTGGGCCACGTAGCGATACGCGGAAGGCGGCGTTCGAAAGAGCGTCAAAAATAATGACGAAATCACTTCGGTCAATTTTTTGGTCAGGTCAAAGGTCAGGTCACCAGAGGTCATTGAAGGCAAAATTTCGCCGATTTCCAGGTCGAATGTCGAAAATTTCCAAGAAGCCAACGCATAACTCGGGAACCAATAGAGCTACAGCGCCGCGGAAAAGCGCATTCGATAGCCCTATTAACGCCCTTTCTGAGTAATTCTCTCAGATTTGACCTAACGTCAACGGTTTTGCCTGCATGGGGCAAAAACTGCAAAAATAGCCGATTTTTTCGGAAACAGTTTTTCTGCAATAACTTTTGACCCAAGCCCTGTACGAGCTTACTTTTACCGGCATCGTGTTCCTCTCGGCAAGACGCATCGAATGAGCTATAACTTGACCTTGAAAGGTCAACTTGAAAATTTGACCTCAGGTCAAGGTCATGACCTGACCGGAAAGGGTCATGTTGCATATCAGTCGATCCGTATCGTCGAGCTGAACACATCTAAGGCGTTTTCATGGCTCTAGCATGCCTCTATCAAAAGTTATTTGCGAAAAACTGTTAGATACAATTCGTGACCTAAGATGACCTCAGGGCATAAACAAGGGTCACGGACACCATTTTCATGTTCAGTGTGTCTAAGCCACTTGTAATTCGGTGTTTGGGAGTGTTTATAATGTCTTTCGTCCAAAAGAGGCGCATTTCAATTTTCTCCCATTGACTTATAATGGGGAGGCCGCAAAATTGACCTGACCTTAGGTCATCGATATCAAAATTCTGAGATATACATTTTGTACATGCTATTGCTCTTAGCAATCGCTGAAAGTTTCAAAGCGATCGGTCACTCGGTGTAGCAATGACAGACATTAAAACTTTTTATGAGGTGAGGTCACTTCAAGTGACCTGGTGACCTGACCTTGAATGACCTTGGTCTGAAATTTTCACAACATGTGTAGAATTGATGTATGATAAGGTGTACCAAAAACGGCGGCGCTCCGCGCCGCCGTTTTTGAGATATTCGCGAAAAACCACAAGGGGGGTGTTCAAACACCCCCCCCCCCAGCAGGGCGCGGGTTAATGTTTGGATGGATTATGTTTTATACTATTGGCATATTGTGGGCAAATTCCTAAGGAATGCCAAAATTGGCAGGCTTGGAAGTGCTGATGTCAGAAACCATGGCCGCATGCTGGCAGTCACTGTATGTAGAGTGGTACCGTGCCATCTTTTAACAGCTTCTGTTAGCTACTGTAGCGGAAATGGGTCGACGTCTACACCATTTGGTGGTTCTGGCACGTCAGGGCCACCCTACGTACAGTAACGGCGATCATCGGTCTCACACGAGAACAGGGGGGAGGGGGCACTTGTCTCGCGCATCACCTCTCACCCATAGCCGGTCATTTCGCTCTACCTCAACTCCGTGGACTATTCCTGTGGGGTCACGTGAGTGACATGATCTGTAGCAGCGGCCCAAAGGACATCAAACCTCCCGACGAGTGCAGTGAGAGGTGCTGCAATTCTCCAGGCACGTGCCCAAAAACGGGGAATAATTTCCTGTTTCGGGCTGAGTCGTGCACTGCTCCAAAAACTCGTCATCTGCAAAATACGCTGTAACTTCTTAGAAACGAAAATGACATGATCCCAAAATATGTCAATACAAACTTAGAAGTCCACTCTATTTGCCCATAGCATGATCACCGTTCTGAGGGCAAGTGTTTTCTCGTAATTCGGAAATAAAATGTGTCAGTTTTTCGTGAACATCCCTGTATGTATTGATACCGTGTGAAAATGATTTAGGCCAGAAATTACGTGGATTGTTGCAAATTAGCCGAATGTCACAAGGAATCATCTTTTTTTGTAGCCTAGAATTTTTTATACAAAATAATTCATTTATTCATTTATTGTTCTGCTACAACCCTTCAAGACCCCGCCCTCAAAATTTCCAGCGTTCAAATACGAGCGAACGACGGTCACCATGATTCGCCATTTATTGTTACCGAATGTCTGGGGATATGCCTTTTTGAACCGAGCTGTGTAGTGTATAGGCTGCTCTCGCCATTTGTCGAGGAGCCGCTGTCGTTGTTGGTGAATGATCAGCCATTCTGAATGTGCCATTGGAGATCGGCCCGCTACTGAAGTAGCGCTGCCTTCCGGCCGGCCGCCGGCGTGCAGCGCTCCCAGCATGAATTGATTGGCGGCGGGCGTGTTTTTTGGAGCCGACTGACGACACCTCTGGGGACATTTCTGCCCCATCGAGACCAGCTGGGGGCAGAACAGCGGCCAGTCAGCCACAGGCAGAGTGGTACAGCTAGGCAGAGGACGAGGACAGAATGGTACAGAGCGGTAATTCAAAAGTGATATGCATGCAAACTTTGGAATGGTATTGTGGCTACTGCACTGCCATATGAATACATCTGAGTCCATAGCATTGCTGTTAGCTAACAAAGTAACGTAACAAGTGCGAACCCCTCCCCCTCCCCCACACCTTTTCACCTCGCATATTCCAGCAGTTTATTCGCGGCACAGTGGGTGTCGTATGTCGTAATGCCGTGGCGCCTGCACTTCAATTGGCCTTCTGACTTCGCCGGTAGTGTCATTGGAGATTCCAAACGACGGTAGTTTGCCCTAGCGTCGTGGCCGCAGTTCGTGTCGTTATGTGCACTCCGATATTAACATTTCAGCGGAGCGCCGGTCGTCTATGCTAAGTATGGGTTAACGATTCCATGGCGGCGTCGGAATATGCTATCGACGCGCCGTGAGCGATGGGGCGACGGGTGTCCCTGGCGGGCGGCGGCGGCCCGTGTCTGGAGCGACCGTCGGTATGTCCGGCCATCAGCTGAACCCCCTATCCCCCACCCTACCCCCCTCCAGCCTGAAAGCAGCTCCACTCGCTGGTTAAACAGCGCGACGTTCCGACAAGATCCGCCTTTTCATCAGAAACATTGGATTGACATTGATCGCGATTTCCCGTGGCAATGGCCTTGTTGCATGACAACAGTGGTCGGCGTGGCGCAGTTTTGTCCATGGCCAGGAGACGCTTGGATTTGGGAGTGGTATGGGTGAGTCTGACACCGGTTTTTACATGGACCGATTGGGCATTGGACATTCACATCGATGCCGACATTGACGCAACCGCAGCCAGGATACTCTTTAGTGGGGATGATTGAAATGGACTGTCGGTAAACAGCGTTCACCTGTTTTCGGATGGCAATGAGCCTCCCGGATTATCTCGTATAATGACCTCCATATGCGACTTTGATGGTGTGAATCTCATTGATCATTGATTATCCCATTTGGTAACGTATTTTATTTGCGGATATAACATGGATTTTGATGGCAGTTAGTCCTAGATAATTCCTCTCTGCATTGCGCTGTAAAGCTGCCAGTTGGCCGTTTGACCGCGGGCCGGCGGACAGTCAGCGCCATCGCCGGCAGCGTACCTCGTTTGTAAGCGACTTTCTACGACGGGCCCAAGTTCGACACAATGGCTGTGATGAAAGCATTGGGAGCGGCGCAGCACCGTCACGAGTGCCTCGTCCCGCTGCCATTGTGTGATTTGCTGCTCTCGGGGACGGCCGCGGCCCGATCGGTCGGCATTGACGACCGATCGGGCCGTCAATGCCAAAGCTGACAATTAGGCCAGTTTTTTTTTTTTTTTTACCAGTCACTCATGTCGTTGGAAAATAAAGTACACAATTCACAAACAATCACCAACCAACAGTTTGACCGTTAAAATTTGTCGTCCTGCAGCCCAGTAGTTAGCATCAGGCTTAACATCAGGATGGAGGTCGTCGAAGCCGGATCTGGAAAACTGTGAAGTGAAGCAAAAAATCAGGAAATAGAGGAAATGTATCGAATAGGTCAACTGAAGCTATTATCATGAATATGACATATCAGCTGAGGTTTTTGGTGGATCAAAAAACTACAGCTAGGTAGCGCGTTGAACATATACCGAGTCTCAACGGAATGTCTTGTATAAGACCACCTTCCATAGCAGTGATGCACTGGCTGTGCCTGTGGCCTATGCCCGCGCATTGGCTGCTGACTAGCAAGCAAGTACAGTTTTCAAAGGCATACAGGATGAAGGTTAGTTTTTTTCAACGCCTGATTGAAGCATATGCGGGAAGTTTTCAACCGACTGCTGCCTTTATTGTCGGCTCGCTGCGTTGTGAACGAACACCCTCGAGAAGGGTGGTATGTGAAAGTCCATCAACTTCAAAGTGAGGATGCCTCATACGGAAAACCCCACTGCATCAAATATGAATTTGTTGGGTGAGCTTATGCGAAGCATGCAATTTTAGATGCGACCTGGAAGTGTAACCCAAAACTGCATTTATAATTTGTTTAGTGCTTCAAAACCATTTGGTCAGACCTTGTGCATTAGCGACTACGCAGTGGTACTGCCTACGTTAAGTTTACTTTTCAGAGTTAATCAGTTCCTATCAGCATATGTACCTCCTTAGCTAGTGAATGGCTATAAAAATATGCACACGCATGTCGTTGAGGTTTTCCTCGTATCTATAATTTTTTATTGTGAATTCTATTGCATATTTTCTGACTTAAAAAGTAACAGCGACATGCGCGCCAACTTCGCCACCGTCACTGCGACATTCTACAGGGAAGCCCACTGATAGTGGCTCCCAGAACTGCGATAATTACCAAACTTGGCGCACTCGCTGCTGCTTATAAGAATGCCACGTTCCCGGAGGCCGAAGTGTGTCGCCGGCGGCGATTTGGGCCAGCTGTATCAGCGGCGGCGCCTGATGGTACCGAGTCGCGCCCCTCGCAGCGTCTCATATCGCCGCAGCCGAAAATGACAGGATGGTTAGCGCCACCGGGATGGCGTCGCTCCAGCTGCTGCGTCGTTTGGCGTTACGAGCTTTGGGCGTTACGGGCCCTGGGCGTTACGAGCGCGGCCAATCGGTGTCGCTCGCCGCCCGCCGCCGACCCGGGTCGGCTCGCGCCGGCCGCGACGGCGACTGTGGTGGCGTGATAGCGAGCCGGCGCGGCGGCGCCAATGCCATGAGACGACATTGGGGTGGCCGGCCGGGTATCATTGCTGTCAGCGCCGGTAATGGACCACTGACTGCGTGCGGAGGGAAGGGGAGGGACTCCGGGGTCCCACCACTGACAGTGTGCTCTCTGACGCTCCGTGTGTGTCTGTCTGTCGACAGGTGAACACCACGCGGCCATGCAGGACGGTGTGAGCGCCGGGTGGCCGGCGCGCCGCTCGCCGCCGCTCTGGACACTCTGCCTGACCCTGCTGCTGGTGCTGGACGCCCTGTCACCGGCCACCCGGGCCGTCCGACAGCCGGCGACGGACGCTGCCCGCTCCCCGGCGTGATGGATGGCCGCGTCGATCGGTCGGTGGTCCGCCGCGGCGGCGGCGGCGCGCTCCTGACCGCCGCCAGAGCCCACCGCCGCCGCTACCGACGGCCGTACCCCTGGGACGGCCACTCGCCGGGAGAGAGATGGAGCGCCGACCGGCCGCCGACGGGCCCGTGCACAGGGCGGGACCCCGAGCAGGACTGGTGAGGTTTCTCCCAACTGTTGGTGTCGCTGGCTGACTGTCGATGGACTACCAGTTCTGTTGGTGAGGACGGACAGCGATGGAGGGACTCGGGGCGATGGTAACGTCGCTGACCGGTCGCGTCTGTGGGGGGAAATGAGCGGGGCGTCGGCGGTCGATAGTTTTCCTCGCGCGCCTGTCGTTACCGCCTGCCGCTGACGACTCGGACTGCTGCGCCGTTTCCGCGGCTGGCTGAGTCCGCCCTCGGTCGGCGACTGTTCGTATTTGGCCGTGCTCCCGCCGCCGTGTGGTGAGCCAGACTCTCGGAGAGCGGCAGTTACCGTGCGCGGCACGTCGCGACAAATGAGCGGCCGGTGAGCCAGTTAAGCCTCGCTCGCGCCGGACACTGGCGCCCAAATAGCCGCTGTCGTCTATCAGCTGGGGTAGGTGAGACGGTGAGAAGGCCCGCGCCCGGCAGACCGCACAGGAGCCGATGGGCCGACACGAGACTCTAATGAAAAGTTGTCCGGTCTGGGACGACCACGTGCAGGTCCGGGACGGCCACGTGCTGTGAAATGAATTGAAAACGCGCTGTTCAGGCGCAGTGAAACTCAAACAGGTGAGATGTAAGATGTGAGAGGGCGGTGAGATGTTAGCTCTGAAAAATCATGTGGAGAGGAGACTTCATGGGGCTAATGTAAGCGTCCAAAAACAATGGTTCTGGCTAAGGAATACTGTTCACAGAATTCTGCGAACGGGTTTTGGTGTTATAACGTGCATGTTCAAGATGTTTCATTGTGAGCAAAACGGTGGTCGTTACTGAAACTTTCGGCTAAATAATGTCACAAATTTGTCCAGCAAGATAATCATGATAATGGGCTTTGGAAGCGGTCGAGTTTGTTGTTACACTGTTTCCCGACCGCTGAATATGGTGCTGAGCTGGTTCCATGGTGTTCGATGGAAATAATCATGTTATATCGGGTCCTCCATGTTCAGAGCGGAGATTCGGGATCTAATGGTAGGTATGCGTGGTGTGATGCCAACGGTTCCTTCAGAGAGCGCCATGAGAACAGGCCCCGCGATGCCTGAACTGATCGTCGGTTATTCCAGTTGTCATGGTGCCATGTTACACTTCTTGTGGCGGGTGCCGACACAATGTGGACGTGTGTCGTCCTGAATAACATTCGCAGTAGCTCGAAAACAATAAAATGGTGATCGCGGAATATGGAACTGGTACGTTCGACCGTCGTCACAATCAAGCCCATCTTGTGAGTGGCTGCTGACACGGGTGGGAGGCCGTTTGTGATGGTCCTATGCGGCGCAGCATCCCCCAACTATAACAAATGTACACATACCCTTCCATCCTGCGACGGCGGTGCTCTTGAAGAGATGTGAGAGCCACAAAGAGAGACTCCGCACAGTCATCGTGGAAGGATCAAAGAAAGCAGTCGCCAGAAAGAAGGCTAGATTCGCAACTAATGAAGCGTGACACGAGCTTTTCAGGGTGACGTAAATCTGGCGATCCACCCATGCGTTTTGATTAGAGTTTGAGTAAAGATTTTGTTCTGTAGATATTTATCCTTCACGACAAAAATTGAACGTTAGTTGCACCAGGCATGACACATCTGAGCGAATTCCGGCTTTAACCCGCGCCCTGCTGGGGGGGGGTGTTTGAACACCCCCCCTTGTGGTTTTTCGCGAATATCTCAAAAACGGCGGCGCGGAGCGCCGCCGTTTTTGGTACACCTTATCACACATCAATTCTACACATGTTGTGAAAATTTCAGACCAAGGTCATTCAAGGTCAGGTCACCAGGTCACTTGAAGTGACCTCACCTCATAAAAAGTTTCAATGTCTGTCATAGCTACACCGAGTGACCGATTGCTTTGAAACTTTCAGCGATTGATAAGGGTAACAGTATCTATAAAATGTATATCTCGGAATTTTGATATCGGTGACCTAAGGTCAGGTCAATTTTGCGACCTCCCCATTATAAGTCAATGGGAGAAAATTGAAATGCGCCTCTTTTGGACGAAACACATTATAAACACTCCCAAACACTGAATTACAAGTGGTTTAGACACACTGAACATGAAAATGGTGTCCGTGACCCTTGTTTATGCCCTGAGGTCATCTTAGGTCACGAATGGTATCTAACAGTTTTTCGCAAATAACTTTTGATAGAGGCGTGCTAGAGCGATGAAAACGCCTTAGATGTGTTCAGCTCGACGATACGGATCGACTGATATGCAACATGACCCTTTCCGGTCAGGTCATGACCTTGACCTGATGTCAAATTTTCAAGTTGACCTTTCAAGGTCAAGTTATAGTTCATTCGATGCGTCTTGACGAGAGGAACACGATGCCGGTAAAAGTAAGCTCGTACAAGGCTTGGGTCAAAAGTTATTGCCGCAAAACTGTTTCCGAAAAAATCGGCTATTTTTGCAGTTTTTGCCCCCTGCAGGCAAAACCGTTGACGTTAGGTGAAATCTGAGAGAATTACTCAGAAAGGGCGTTAATAGGGCTATCGAATGCGCTTTTCCGCGGCGCTGTAGCTCTATTGGTTCCCGAGTTATGCGTTGGCTTCTTGGAAATTTTCGATATTCGACCTGGAAATCGGCGAAATTTTGCCTTCAATGACCTCTGGTGACCTGACCTTTGACCTGACCAAAAAATTGACCGAAGTGATTTCGTCATTATTTTTGGCGCTCTTTCGAACGCCGCCTTCCGCGTATCGCTACGTGGCCCAGGAGCCGAGTTACAAGGGGGGGTGTTCAAACACACCCCCCCCCCCCCCAGCAGGGCGTGGAAATCCAGGACCCCCAGCCGGGCGCGGGTTAAAAAAAATGTGTAATTCTACGAGAAAAAAGACATAGAACTAAAGGGACAAGCGATTCTCAGCTGAGTTCCATTATTGCCAGTATTATGCCACGACGTTTTCTGTAAAAGACCGTCTTCTTCCAATCAAATTCAGAGTAGTTCTTGTCCGATGGAATTGCTAATACTAAACGTCCACACAACTTCTGGCAATTTCCGTTTAACCCTATCATTACGTGTTGAAATGACAGTATTCTGCTGGTGGATTGACATTCGGCCTGAAACGCGCTGGTAAACCATTAACAGTGTCTGGATCTGAGCCGAAGTGGAGGGGGGGGGCGGTGGGGGAGAGGGGCTGGGGACACGGAGCGGGTCCCGAATAGAGGGGAGGGGAGGGTCCTCGGAGCTACATGGTTGATGGCAGAGCCGGACGAACTGTCGCGCCCGTTGGCTGGGAGCAGAGACAGTGACACGGAACAGGCTTCATGGATGTCCATGAAGTATATGCAATGTCCATTATCCATGGACATTATTCTGCAAACCACACTTAGCGGGATTGCGAGCTATTGGATATAGTGCAATGCATCGTTCTCGCATAACTGCCTGAAAACGTTCGCATAACCGTTTTAAACGTTATTGTTGGTAGATTTCTGGACAAATTGCCAGTTCTCTTGCAGACTCAAGAGCTGAAATTTGGAGCACAGTAGTTGGTGAAGTTGGTAAACTTTTGTTATCAATGTGCAGTCCAGATCAGCAGCATTTTATGTTGGGTCGTAGCTTAGCGTTTCCGTCTCGCAATCCGCACACGCACATGCAACGCTTGTGTGTGTCTTTTCTAGTGAACGCGAGGTCGAACTAATCCGCACATCTACCATATTTATCCAAGCAGAGCTTTAGGCAATGTTTTATATCATAGACAAATCCAATCAACAAATGAGGATAATCCTGGTAAAACGATCGTGTGCTTTGGTACAATATCAACACTTCTGGGTTCTGGCAATATAACATTTGGTCATGGATAGGTGAGCCTCTAGATCCTATCCAGGGCACCACAGAGACGAGCATCACAACAGCTTGGACTATAGTTAGACTCAACATTGGGTAATTTCCTGCATTCGTTATTTGCAAAATAGCAGTAGAGGCAGATCAATAAAGACATCGAGAAATGTCAGAGAACCTCTACCATAATCTAATATCGCTGTCAGTTGCATGTTTGGATTGTTTCATCATTATGTTTGACTAGTCAAAAAAGGAAGTAAGATTGGCTTGGTCCAGGGCATCATCGAACTAACATGGCGATTTATAGTCATGTGCCGAAAGTAAAAAATTATCATATGAATGTTTCGTGCTCCCTCGGTTTATTGTTGTCAATTGTTTATTTGCCATGATCGCCATTTTACTAGTAAATGATATCGAATGCCAGCAAACACCTGTATTCCCAGTTGCCCCTCCAACAGATAACATTCAGTTTTCCTGCAGGCTGCAGTCTGTTTCAGACCTCAGTCGGACCGCGACACATGGTTCGCGGTCTCACTGCACTGCAATGTGACCTGTAATTGGATGGCTGTTTTACTGTCGAAGTACCGTCACGGTAGATGCCCACGAAAACGGGACACTGTGGGCAAAGGATCCTAGGTGAGCAGTTGCTAGCACACCACCTCCCCCTTCTTGAGGCACCCTTCAATTGAGACTCTCGGTCACGTACTGGCAGGTCATAGGAACAGTTTCAAAGCTTCGTTAAAAACTGTGAGTGCGGTGAAGGCGACGGTCTGTTCAAAGTCAGTCTCCATCAAAGCCAGAGTGAGTCATACATATGTTTTGTTGGCTATGTACTGCCAAAAAGGATATTGGATGAAATTTGCAGTCATGTGTGGGAAGGACAAGGACAATGCAATTAAGATGTGTCTTCAACTCGTTTATATAACCGTTGCAAGCGCGGCATTTACTAAAAGCCAAAGGGAAGGACCGGCAGTGTCACGTAAAGATTCCTTTGATGCAAGTTCTCGCTATAAATTGTTTCCACTACGAAATGACACAGCCTGTTAGCTATCATAGTGATAATGTCGCAGACTAGTCAAAATTTACATTTGATATACGCATACCAACCACGCTCAATCGTGTCCTGGCATCTGGCTTCTTTAGGTAAGTCAGTTATGTAATTATTTTCATTCTTCATAGTCTGATGTGACTGTGTAATGTGCTCCCGAATTCGACGGCTGATGTAGAAACCATTTAGATTTAAGATCCATAAGTAACTAGCATTTTCAATCCAGAGGGCAGCGAACTGGTATTCGATGTTACCAAGATGGGTGCATTAGGCAGCAGTTTTATCCAGTGGACAATGGGATGGTCTCCGCAATTTAGCCGTCATTTGGCTGAAATTGGACAGAGCGCGTTCATTAATTAATTCCAACTTCTAAGAACAGCGCGGGGTTCATTATTTTCCATAGGTCAGGCAATGGGGAAATGACAGTCACGCACTTTATACGAAGGTGATGTTCTGCCTCAGCACGGCTACAGTGGCAGACAACGGTTGGACAGCGGAAAAAGAGAGAGAGAAAGAGACAGAGAGAGAGAGAGAGAGAGAGAGAGGGAGAGAGAGAGAGAGAGAGAGAGAGAGAGAGAGAGAGAGAGAGAGAGAGAGAGAGAGAGAGAGAGAGAGAGAGAGAGAGAGAGAGAGAGAGAGAGAGAGAGAGAGAGAGAGAGAGAGAGAGAGAGAGAGAGAGAGAGAGAGAGAGAGAGAGAGAGAGAGAGAGAGAGAGAGAGAGAGAGAGAGAGAGAGAGAGAGAGAGAGAGAGAGAGAGAGAAAGGAGATGGGTAGGGAATCAGTCTGCTGTCGTTGGCGCGGCTGGCGTCCTTTCAGCGCTGGCCGGCACAACAATCCGCCAATATTGCAGGGGCCATGTCCGGCCATTGGGCGGCCGTCGGGGCCGATTGTGCGGCGCGCCGCCGCGGACAGCGCGGCCATCCCTCCCATCGACAGGGCCGTATTTGTCACGGCACGGGGTCGGGCCGACGGCGGCGCCGGCTCGGCCCGGAAGTCGTCGGCGACGGTCGGCCGAGTCGCCGGAGACGGGCCTTCAGCCGCGGCCGGCCAGAAGGCGCCGCTCGTAAACGGAGCGCGTCCGACGCCGCCGGGGTCCGCGGCGCCCCGCCGGCCGTCGAAAATGAAACCGCCTCATCTGGGCGACGTTGTCGGCGGCGCGGCGCGGCCGGCCGACGCTCGGTCAGCGGCGCGCGGTCCCGTCGCCGAACAACTGCCCGAGGTCAGGGCGAGTCACTCTCGACTGCGGGCTGAACTGGTGGGTGTGCTGGCGGCGCAAATAACGAGTGAAATGCAGCGTCAGCGTGGATACTAGAGCACACTCGTGAACACTCTGAAATGATAGAATAAACGCTTTCCTA